TTGCGCATACAGGCGGTGCAAGATTTGCCGCGCCCTACCTTTTGTATCATGTTACCGCGAAGGTTGTAGGCTGATCTGTTTGCAAAGTCCCCCTTGTTGCTCCCTTTACGTCGCCTAAAGGGAGACACTACACGCCGGTTGTTGAAACAGGCAGCGCAAACCTGGGACAGGGCGGTGCCTCTCGATCGCTCCGGCCCACGCGCATTTTTGAATCGCTTGTACAAAAATATAGTAGCCATTTTCCCTCCAAAAGTGCAGTACACCTCTGTGCTGTCAATTTGTCCTTTCCTGACTACCCCGTAGCAATTTTACGCTTTGTACAAATCATGAATTTGTCAAGGATGTGTAGGTGCATGCTCCATTCATGGCAACTGCGTTAGCGTCGATTTGGCCAGACTTCTCGCTTTCTAATTTCAAAGCTACGCAAATATTGCATTTTTTTTTTCAGATTCGTTTAGTACATATTATAGCTGCTAATTTCAGAAAGTATAAAAGAAATTAAAGACTGCCTTTTTGTTAAAATAATTTGCAATATAATGCATATTTAGTCAAATACACCTGTTTGAGTAATTCTCGTAAATTTCTCCCACTAAGCAGGACAACAATATTTCATGCGAAGATAAACTATATACAGGGAAAGCCAGCGGCAAAGTTTGAAGACATTAGCTTTTATAGATGCGGAGAAAAATAACCTTTAATTCGGAGCGTTATTGCGTAATGTAAGCCGCCCGACATGCCAATATCGCACGATACGCAAAACGCGCATGTGAATGAGGGGGTGCTAGAATTTTTTTCCCCAAAGACAAAGAAGTCAAATATATTTTTTTTTTAAAGGAAGGATTGGTTTCATTCTTCTGGGCACTGAGCCAGCAAAACATTAATTTTTTTCATCAAATTTAAAAATGGTCGACGCACATCGACCTCGACTGAAAACGCCCCCCCCATGACGATGACTGCCCAAAAAATTGCGATTGTGGTATGTCCGATGTATCCTTTCATTAAAGAGACAAGTAGGAAGTATATCAATTACTCAAGTTATTCCGATGATTACCCTCCCATCTACTTCCCACAAACCTACCTTCACTGAGCTCATTAGCGTATCTTTCATGGTTTTTCGTTATCTGCTCATAAATATCAAGAACAATACCTGTATACAGATATGATTCCAAAACACAAATTAACACACGAGAAATGAAATCAGGAAACGTACTTTCCTCTTTGAACTTTCAAAAATAAAAGCAAATTTATTTTACTATCTCCGTCAAAGAGATCACGGTATGTTTTACATAATTAAACAGCGCACAAGGAGAGGGACAGAAAAGGAAGACAGAACAGGCAAGCGCTGACTCGCAACTGGCGATTTACTATGAAAAGGAGAAGGAAGAAAACTACACACATGAACATATATCGGAAAAGAGAAAGATGTGAAAAAGCTAATAAATTAAATAAAATTACACCTAAAATAATTATAGCTGAAAAGGAAAACAAAATAAAATGAAAATCAATCTCTCAAAGTCCTAGGCATGTCCAGTGCCGGCACTCCGAAGCCTTGACCATACACCTATTTGTGCGCAGCTGCCCCCATAAACTCATACTCGCTGTCTTGTAGTGTTAATGATGGCTGGCTCACACATTTGGATTCGAGCTTTCTTATCCAAAAGGCTTCCACTATTTCTCTTGTTGTTTTTTCTTTATGGGAAGCTAGAACAGTTGTTGCACAAAAATCTGGATCACATCCACAGGTTCTGCAGTGGATGGCTAGGTGGCTTCCAGTGGTGGTTTGAAGAGACTGTTTATGTTCCCTCAAGCGGTCGTTGAGGCAACGCCCAGTCTGTCCGACATAGGTTTTCCCGCAGGACAGAGGAAGATGGTAAACCACTTGTAGAATGCAAGACACAAAGTGCACCTTGTGGTTTTTCATGCAGCAAGCCCTGCAGTCATTGTTCTTGTCCACAAACGTGCAAATTCTACCCAGTTTGTTTGGGGCTGAAAACACCATGGGCACGTTGTACCTATTGGCAACATTTTTTAAGTTGTGCGACGTCTTGTGGATGTATGGTATAACTAGTGGTCGGATATTGGTAAGGTCTTTGCTCTTTTTTCTTTTGGTCGATCCTTTACAGGTTTGTATCAGAGTGCCCGCAACTTCACTTAACATGGCTGATGGAAAGCCGGATCTTGAGAGTTTGTTTACTTGAGTGCTGAAACTCTGTTCGATGGTGTGGTGACAGGATTTTTTCAAAGCTGAATACATGCACGAACTGGCTATCCCTCTTTTTATTAATTTTGAATGGGCAGATTGGTAATTAAGAATTTCTTTTTTGGAGCGTGGTAGATAGGACCAACAAATGTGGTGATCTGAGATTTTTATAGATAGGTCTAGGAACTGCAGCACATTTAGAATAGGTTGTTCATACGTAAAACTCAGACCTTTACCGCTTCTGGAGAAAACACTCAGGATTGTATCTATTAAGTCTTCTGTTTGTTCTTCTTGGAGGATAATAAGAAAGTCATCAACGTACCTGAAGACTTTTATAATAGACATAGTGCTCAAAAGCGGTGCGAGGATCATGTCTACGCCTCCCAGAAAGATGTCGCTTAAGATGGGAGCAACACATGACCCAATGCACACTCCAGACCGCTGTAGGTATGAAGAATCTTGCCATTTTACAAACAAGGCTTTCAGATAAAAGTCTAGTAGCTCCATGAAGCTTTCCGTTGAAGTACCACTCGAATTCTGAAACTTGATTTCTCCTGATTGTTCAATAGTTGATTTGACTGAAGCCAGGAGAGCATCCTGTGGAATGGAGTAATACAGGTCCACCACGTCTACGCTGAAGGCTCCTCTCTTCTGATTGGTGTCACTCTTCAAAAAATCAATTACCTCCTCGGAGTTGTGTATGAGGAACGGGTCAACTATGTTGAGGCTAGAGAGGTGAGTCTGGAGATAGAGGGCGATCTGTTTCTGCCAAGTACCCCTTTCTGATACAATGGCCCTGAAGGGACATGCATCTTTGTGGGTTTTTGCACTAAAAAATATATCCAGGTGCAAGCCCTCAGCTTTCTTTATTTTTACCGCCAGCTGATTGAGACTTAGCTTTTGACAGGTGGCATATGCTCTTTCCTTGATCTTTTTCAGTACTATGTCTACAGGCTTGAAATTTTTCATTACTCCAGATCTCCAGACTCCAGATCTCCAGACTCACCTCTCTAGCCTCAACATAGTTGACCCGTTCCTCATACACAACTCCGAGGAGGTAATTGATTTTTTGAAGAGTGACACCAATCAGAAGAGAGGAGCCTTCAGCGTAGACGTGGTGGACCTGTATTACTCCATTCCACAGGATGCTCTCCTGGCTTCAGTCAAATCAACTATTGAACAATCAGGAGAAATCAAGTTTCAGAATTCGAGTGGTACTTCAACGGAAAGCTTCATGGAGCTACTAGACTTTTATCTGAAAGCCTTGTTTGTAAAATGGCAAGATTCTTCATACCTACAGCGGTCTGGAGTGTGCATTGGGTCATGTGTTGCTCCCATCTTAAGCGACATCTTTCTGGGAGGCGTAGACATGATCCTCGCACCGCTTTTGAGCACTATGTCTATTATAAAAGTCTTCAGGTACGTTGATGACTTTCTTATTATCCTCCAAGAAGAACAAACAGAAGACTTAATAGATACAATCCTGAGTGTTTTCTCCAGAAGCGGTAAAGGTCTGAGTTTTACGTATGAACAACCTATTCTAAATGTGCTGCAGTTCCTGGACCTATCTATAAAAATCTCAGATCACCACATTTGTTGGTCCTATCTACCACGCTCCAAAAAAGAAATTCTTAATTACCAATCTGCCCATTCAAAATTAATAAAAAGAGGGATAGCCAGTTCGTGCATGTATTCAGCTTTGAAAAAATCCTGTCACCACACCATCGAACAGAGTTTCAGCACTCAAGTAAACAAACTCTCAAGATCCGGCTTTCCATCAGCCATGTTAAGTGAAGTTGCGGGCACTCTGATACAAACCTGTAAAGGATCGACCAAAAGAAAAAAGAGCAAAGACCTTACCAATATCCGACCACTAGTTATACCATACATCCACAAGACGTCGCACAACTTAAAAAATGTTGCCAATAGGTACAACGTGCCCATGGTGTTTTCAGCCCCAAACAAACTGGGTAGAATTTGCACGCTTGTGGACAAGAACAATGACTGCAGGGCTTGCTGCATGAAAAACCACAAGGTGCACTTTGTGTCTTGCATTCTACAAGTGGTTTACCATCTTCCTCTGTCCTGCGGGAAAACCTATGTCGGACAGACTGGGCGTTGCCTCAACGACCGCTTGAGGGAACATAAACAGTCTCTTCAAACCACCACTGGAAGCCACCTAGCCATCCACTGCAGAACCTGTGGATGTGATCCAGATTTTTGTGCAACAACTGTTCTAGCTTCCCATAAAGAAAAAACAACAAGAGAAATAGTGGAAGCCTTTTGGATAAGAAAGCTCGAATCCAAATGTGTGAGCCAGCCATCATTAACACTACAAGACAGCGAGTATGAGTTTATGGGGGCAGCTGCGCACAAATAGGTGTATGGTCAAGGCTTCGGAGTGCCGGCACTGGACATGCCTAGGACTTTGAGAGATTGATTTTCATTTTATTTTGTTTTCCTTTTCAGCTATAATTATTTTAGGTGTAATTTTATTTAATTTATTAGCTTTTTCACATCTTTCTCTTTTCCGATATATGTTCATGTGTGTAGTTTTCTTCCTTCTCCTTTTCATAGTAAATCGCCAGTTGCGAGTCAGCGCTTGCCTGTTCTGTCTTCCTTTTCTGTCCCTCTCCTTGTGCGCTGTTTAATTATGTATAGCAACCACCAACTAGCCCAAGTATCCACCATTTTGAACGGTATGTTTACTGAGACTATTGTCGGTATACGTCAAATTCGATAATAGTTCTAGGAATACTTGGAGAAAGGGCAGTGTTGCATTGCCGTTGCTAGAGAATGTGCTCAAGTCATCCGCCGCTTACTGATGTTGTCTGGAGATGTAGAGACTACTCCGGGTCCTGTTACCTCAAGCGAAATCCTAAGCGAATCGCAGAAGCTGTCTGCAGGTCAAACTAAACTCATCGAGGAGGTAAAGGGCCTAAAAAGTCAGCTGCAGATAACCGATAGGACCATATCGGACCTAGGCAGGCGGATGACTGACCTGGAGGGTCATTACCAAGGCCTTTCCACGCTACGTGCTGAGGTGGAGGCCACGGTGACCAGGGCCGTCCACGCGGCTCGTCAGGTCTCTTACCTTGAGGCCCGTGTGGACGACACTGAAAATCGATCCCGACGAAAGAATCTAATATTTTATGGTGTGCCCGATCCCTCACCTACAGAGACTTTTGCCCAGTCCGAACAAAGAATCATTCGCCTTTGCTCTGAACTTTTTGATGTAACATTAGACTCGAAAGAAATAGAACGTGCCCACCGCCTCGGGCGTCTTTCGGTCGAGCGTCCACGACCAATAATAGTGAACTTCTCCTTTTTCCAAACTAAAGAAGCCATCCTTTCGAATGGCCGTAAACTAAAAGGTACTAACTTCAGCATGGGCGAAGATATTTCCCGCTCAGTTCGCAACGCACGGAAACACCTCCTTGCCTTTGCTAGAAGCAAATCTGCTCCCTTTTCTTTGCGCTACAAAACACTGCTCATCGGCTCAAAACGTTACCTTTTCGATGAATCATGCCAATCAGTCAAAGAAATCTCATAGCAATCGCACCGTCAACAGAAAATTACAACACGCCCCCAACGTGCCCCTCGAACTAATCTTTCTTTTTCGGTGATCTTTACTAACATACGCAGCTTTCTTCCGAAGCGCGAACTCGTATCGGGCGTTGTATTATCTTCTGAATGCAGTGTACTTCTGCTCACTGAAACTTGGCTAACCAGTGATGTTACTGACTCCGAAGTTTTAGCGTACCTGCCAAATTTTCGTCTCTTTCGTAATGATCGCAAAGGTACTCGCGGGGGAGGTGTTCTCATTGCCGTAAACCACCAAGTACCATGCACTACTATTAACACTTCATCCGATCTGGAAATACTCTGGCTCATCTGTCATGCCGCTCCTGAAACAGTGCTGTTGGGTGTCTGTTACAGGCCGCCGCATAATAGTCTCGATTTTCCGGGGCAGCTTAACGATATGCTGTGCCACCTCAATGCAAAACACCCCAATGCCCACATACCTCTTTTTGGCGACTTTAATTACCCATATGTCGATTGGGCTAACCTGGCGCCTACAACAACGAGCAGCGCAGAAACGATAGAATTTATCGATGTTTGCCTCAATTTTAACCTGTCCCAAATATTAACTGAGCCAACACGTGTCACGCAAGAGACTGCAAGTCTCTTGGACCTAATATTAACCAACCGTCCTGACAGTATGTCGTCAATTACTTACCTACGGGAAATTAGTGACCATAAGGTCATTCACGCTGATTTTATGTTTTCGCCGACGTTGCCCCCTACTCAAAATAAAACAATTCGCCTCTACAACAAAGGAAATTATGAAGCGATAAATAACCACTTAACCAATTTTTTTACTGACTTTGAGGCTGCTCATCAAAGTCGATCCATCCATGAAAATTGGGTACTACTCAAGAACAAGTTTAACGAATTAATAAATACATTTATTCCTAAAATCAGTTTTCGTGTTAGCCGACAGAAGCCATGGTTCACTAAAACCCTTAAGAGGCTGGAAAATAAAAAAAAGCGTCTTTTTCGCTCTGCGAAGTCAAAACCAAACCCATGCGCGTGGGAAAGGTACTACGAGGCCGAAGCAACATATTTAAACGCGATCATTGAAGCCAAGCGCTCATTTTTCCTTATTGACTTACCAAACATATTAATCAATAACCCAAGAAAGTTCTGGCAGGTCATAAACCCTCAGCAGACTCCCGGTTAAACTCTTGCCGATGAATCGGGGAATGTGCTTAGCGATAGTGAGTGCGCTAACATGTTTAATATCGCGTTCTCATCAGTCTTTACTCAAGAGCCGGACGCACCACTCCCGCCCGTAATCGTAAGTATTGAATCGGAAATGCACCCCATCTCATTTTCCACTGCCGGTATTTCGTCTATTATGGAGAACATCAAGTTGTCATCATCAGCGGGCGTCGACAAAATCACCTCGAAATTTTTGAAGAATTGTAACCATGTATGTTCATCATTTTTCTCACCTATGTTCTCGCAGTCACTTTTCACAGGCGGCATAACAGATGACTGGAAGGCGGGGAAGGTCGTTCCCGTTTTCAAATCAGGCAACAAGGACTCTCCATTAAATTATCGACCCATTTCCTTAACAAGCGTACCCTGCAAAATCATGGAACACGTCATTTATACCCACGTTATGAACTTCCTAGACTCTAACCAATTCTTTCACTCTTCTCACCACGGGTTTCGCAGGAAGTTCTCCTGCGAAACTCAACTAGCTCTCTTTCTCCACGACTTGCATACGTATCTCGACTCTAACTGCCAAACTGACGCTATCTTCCTGGACTTTGCAAAAGCCTTCGACAGAGTACCTCATAGACGCTTGCTACTAAAACTTTCTCGGCTAGGATTGGACCCTGACGTCTTGAAATGGATACAGGAATTTTTGACTAATCGCTCTCAGTCCGTCCTCGTTAATAACCAGTCCTCCAACTGCCTACCAGCATCATCAGGTGTCCCCCAGGGCTCCGTCTTGGGCCCACTGCTGTTCCTCATATATATTAACGATTTACCCTTACACGTTACTTGCCAAATCCGTATGTTTGCCGATGACTGCGTTATTTACCAACCAGTTACTAACATTTCTGACCAAATCAATCTACAGGAAAACCTCAACCGCATCCAGGAATGGTGCGACCACTGGCTCATGTCACTTAATCCTAATAAATGCAAACTCATGTCCTTTCATCGCCGAACCAACCCTTTCCTTTTCCCCTATTCAATTGCTAACACTCCCGTCGAACTAGTACAGTCCCATAAATATCTTGGTGTCACCTTAGGTAGCGACCTATCATGGCGCGCACATGTCACTAACATTATCTCATCAGCAAATAAAAGTTTAGGATTTCTAAAACGCCATCTACGTACCGCTCCTCAAAGCATAAAACTGCTAGCATACAAATCACTCGTAAGGTCAAAGCTGGAATACGCATCCCCCATCTGGAGCCCGCACCAAGCCTATCTCAGCTATGCACTCGAACAGGTTCAGAACCGCGCCACCAGATTCATCCACTCATCTTACTCGTACAAAGTTAGTATCTCATCCTTAAAAGCTGAATCGGGCCTTTTAGACCTCTCCTCTCGTCGCCAAACTGCTAGCTTATGTCTATTTCACAAGTTTTTCTATTCTCCGCTCCATAACGCGCCCTACATTGTACCCCACGCCCGCATCTCTCTCCGAACAGGTCACCCATTGCAGGTCACCCGTCACCGCACTCGAACTGCCACTTTTTTCGATTCCTTCTTCCCCCGTACTGCAACAGACTGGAACGGCCTTCCCGGCGATGTTGCTACGATCACCTGCCCATTAAGGTTTGCTGAAGCTGTGTCAACCATCAATCCAGCGTAACAACCTATTTTTCAAGTTATTGTTTTTTTATATTCTCCCACCCCTTATGTAATATCCCTCCCGAAGGGGTCTTTAAGGAAATAAAGTGAAGTGAAGTAAATTGGTCCAAATACCGACTCTCTGCGGGCGTAGGTGCGTGTCGCGGGATCTTGCTAGGCGTAGCGCCGGTTTTCTGGAGGCTAAAACGTAGCCCTGTCCCGAGCTTTATTTTCGACTTTCACGACCAAAAAGGGAACGCGATGGCGCCTATCAAACTGGCTGCTATCTTGATGATCGAATTTGAAAAGCACTAGGACGTTACCTGCCTTACTCGCAAGAAATTTTTGTTTGATTAAGTATGAGAGGATTTTGAGGCTAACATTATATTTATTGGTCAGGAAGGCGTTGCTAAGAATCGTTCTTCGGAAATCTATTACCAACGAACTGCGGAGCGAGATTGTCACACCGTGGTACCAGTATCGTTGAATGTCGCGAATAATTCCTATTGGTTCAATTAATTTTGGTTACGTCACGAATGCAGTGCAAGGTTTCTATGTTCTGAGGTTGTTGTAGCAAAGGCGAAGGGAAATGACACAGCGCGGCGGCGACGAGCGCGACCAAAAATACTACATTCTGGTAGGGAGACTTTCGCTCCGCCAGGGCGAGCCGCCGCTCGCCTCAGACCGAGCCGCTCGGCGCTCAAGCCGTTGCGAAGGGTTAGCCACATCGCTCACCACACAAAAATTTGCGAACTCGGGGATCGATTTTTTTGGAGCGCACAATGCATGTTTCGCTTGTCCCATTGGAGCAGCGCCGACTCCAGACCTTGCTTCGAATCGCCCAAATCTCACCCCACGATATCGGCGCAGCCCCCGGAAGCCGATTTCTGATGCAGGTGAAGTTCTGGCACGCATTGTACGCCGGTTGCGGTTCTGCGACCCGCCTCCGTTGAATCGCTGCCACAAAATGGCGACGGAGACGATCATCGGCAAGGTCGGGGAAGTTAATTTCGCACGTGGACTGCACTGAGTGATAAACATAAACGTCCCAGAAAAAACGACGTACTCCGCTGTGCGGCAGTGTTATAGCCGCGTTTTTGAGGCAGCAGTAATTTTTGTGACTTGGTGTTAGTCGACAGTGGTGCTTTTTCAGCGTTTATGGCACTTGTGTTTTTTCTCGTGCGCGTTCTGCTCATAGGTTCAAGGTATTACTGGTACGTACGGTTTTTGTAGCAGTGTCCGAATTATACGAATATTCACATTTTCATCCGAGCCAAGTGGGACGGCTTCCACTTGTATTGCTTATCGATTTCTTTGCCTCTCTCATTTTGAAATCATTCCCGCTAATATACTATCAAGATAAGATTGAAATATCATATATAATTGTAGATAATTGTATAATTGTATAATTGTCTTGTAATTGCAAGAGTCTTTCGAAATGTACACTTCTGATGCGATTTTATAGTATTCAAGTGATAGTCTACGAGCTCCCTGTGTAGTGTAAGCCGTTTCTCCTCAGTCCTGCGAAGGTAATTTAAGAAACAAACAAAATAAACGTTGAGTCTACAATTTCAAGTCTCATGTCTGCTCGTTTGTCTAGCTGACTGAAAATGTTCAGACGGCTTTACGGTGGCTATCTATTCGACGTTCTATCTTCATCCTGGGCCCCACCATTGCCGGCTGGTCACAGAGGGGCGGTTGCCTTTGTAGCCGATGGAGTTGGAGGTACAGCGGCTCCTGACGGATTCCATGGTCCGTCGTGGGTTTGGGCCATTGATCTAAAACAACCACTGGAGATCGCCGTAAGACTGGTTGCAGCAATTTGCAAACAAAATGTGATTAACTTGCCTCGAAGGAAGAGCATGCTCGATGCTAGATCTGAGTTTGATTTTACCAGTGCTCAAGTCTTGCCTAACTTGAAAAACTAAGGCTTCCAGGTCTAGACTTTTCTGAAAAGTTGGCGAGATTTCCGAATTTCTCGCCGGGTGTCCAACTCAGAGCTCCCCGACGGTACTTTTCAGTCTTCGTCCGAACGTACGCAATAGCTCCTTTGACATTTAAATTTTGATGTTCCGAGTTGCGCCTGCCGATGGAACACGCTTTTCAATTTCAGTGAAGAATACAGAATTGACGTTGAAATATTATTTAACTGTTAACCGAGTGATAGTAAATTAGGTGGGCTCGAAACCCGGGACACTTTTACGTCATAGTGTCACAGAACGCCATCGAAAAGTCAAATTTTGG